ATACAGTTAAGCGGTATTACTAAAATATAGCCGGCATTATTTTTTTTACTTTAACTCACAAGATAAAATGCCAATTCAAATAAAACCAAAAACAATTTTATAAAATTAACTGATTTTGCAGAAAAAGGTTTTTTTTGAAAACTTTGTTTCTATAACATAAAGTATAATAATTCTTGAATATGTAATAATGCTAAAACAAAAATATATATAATACATACACACATACATACATACATACATACATACATACATACATACATACATACATACATACATACATACATACATATATATATATATATATATATATATATATATATATATATATATATATATATATAGTATATATATATATATATATATATATATATATATATATATATATATATATATATATATATATATATATATATATATATGTATATATCAGGCCTTGCGATGAATAAGAACTGCGCGACGCATAAGCACGATGTGATTTTTGACGTCATTAAATTCTTTTTATTTGCTGTTCATATTTATCAACATTAACTTCACCAATTTACTTAATTACCGCAAAACTACTTTAAATCGTTTATGTTATTATTTTAAAATGTTTTGGAATGTTTCGTTTTTTAAAATGTAAAAACATTTGTTTATTTTCTCGACGTTTGTCACGTTTTGTCTATACTAAACGAATAAAAAACATTTTAACTTAAATTTAAAAGATTATAAAATATGCTAATATTTGATTTTTTTTCTCGTATTAATAAAAAACTTAAACGAACGTTTTGAATAGATTTTTAATGTTAACAAGGAATTTTATTTCTAGTAAAATAAAATAAAATGTTAGTATAAAAGTTTTATAGGTATAAAAAAAATATTTTAGCGAAAAAATTATTCGAAAAAATTATTCTTAAAAATTATTCGAAAAACTATTGACGTTTTATTTTTCAGCAGCTGTTCTTGAGCACGCTTCGTTGAGTTTCGTTAACTTTTAACATAAAAGCGATCGTTATTATTTAAGTAATTTTTTTGAGTTACTTTTTACAAAAATTTTAATAACATCACTTTTTTATTGAATCAAGTAGAATACGTTTTAATATTAATCCTTTTTTTTTTTTTATTTGCGCTCACCAATTTTTAAAATGTTTCCTCGAAATTACTCTTAAATACTTTAAATACGTCTAACAGTTATTAAATATTTTTAAATCTATGGAATAATTTTAAAACCTAATAAACCCCCGTAAAATAATTATTTAAGTTTAAAATCTAAAACTAAAAGAAAGTATTTTTGTTCAATTTTATCGACAACTTTGCTATTGCTGAATAATTTTATTAAAATGTTACCTTAAAATATTTAAACTTTTTTTTTAATCTGAATTTTTTCTACTTGTAAATAATGAGCATATTTAATTTTTTTTAATTCAAACTTTTATTTCAACTGCGCGCGGTTTTTAAAATACTTTATTAAATGTTAAAATAATCGTAAATTACTTCATTAAAATTCCGCTCAAAAATATCTTTAAATATACTCAAACAAAAAATTTTTTGCTCGACGCAAATAGCCCTAGCTACACGCAAAATCGCTCTTGGACGACGTAAAATTCACATCGCCCGACGCTTTATTGCAAGGCCTGATATATATATATATTTATATATATATATATATATATATATATATATATATATATATATATATATATATATATATATATATATATATATAATGTATATATATATTTATATATATATATATATATATATATATTATATATATATATATATATATATATATATATATATATATATATATATATATATAATGTATATATATATTTATATATATATATATATATATATATATATATATATATATATATATATATATATCCAATATTTCTTTTAAGCACAAAAAATGTAAATATTTTAATAAACAAGACCAACTTTTTACTTAATAAAATGATTTTAAATGTTCTATCGATTAAGCATTTGATTAGACTGACTCAGTACGAAAGCGAAGTGAAACTATCAAAATTGGTGTGTATATCAGAGTAGGTTTTTTTATGAAAAACTGTGGTAGTTACTGTAGAATTTATTTTGTGTAAAGTTATGTCCAAGAAGGATATTTTCAAATTCACTTCTTGTATCATGGTGAAAGATATAGAATTGTGTCTACTATTTATATAATTAAAGAAAATACTAGCTTTATTTACTGACTTATAAGCAGCAAAAATGTCATCAACATATCGTTTATAGAAAACTGGTTTAACGCCCTTGCAATTTTTAACGCCATTGCAATTTTTAACGCTATTGCAATTTGTTAGACCTTATTTGGAATTCCCAATATCGGCGTGGAATTCTCACCAAAAAAATTACATAATTTTAATCAAACAAGTACAACCCAAGACAACAGTACAAAACACGAAAGAAATTCTGCGTTAAAAAAAAAAGAAAAAAAAAAGATAAAAGTTTGTATTAATTTTATTCACAAAAATCTTTTAAATAATAAAAGTCTTGCATTAATTTTTTTTAAATGTTCAATTTTTCTTCCACGATCTTTTTTTAATTTGTATTTACTTTTTTTTGTTCTAAAATAAAAAAGATTAAAAAATTATTTTTTTTAAATTAAAAAAAATATTTTTTTCGAAGTAAAAAAAATATTTTTTTTAAATTAAAAAAAATATTTTTTTGAAGTAAAAAAAATATTTTTTTTAAATAAAATTATACCTTTTTATTAATTTGAAAATTTATGTTTTCTTGTTTGTCTTTTTCGAATTCACTTACTGTTCGCTCAACTTGCATACTTTATAGTTTCCATCTGGTTGTTCTAACCTCCTCGGAAATTAAGAATTTATTTCTTCTACAGTAGTTGTTTTCCATTTCTTAAAAAAATACTTTTTGAAATTGCAGCACAGTATGAAATTGTAGCACAGTATAAACTTATTTCTCCTACAGTAGTTGTTTTCCATTTCCTAAAAAAATACTCTTTAAAATTGTAGCACAGTATGAACTTGTAATTTTATGTAAATAAACTTTACACAGAAGCTGCATGTGTATGGGAATGTAAAATATAGTCTGAGAAGTTATTCTTTTTTATGATTAATGTTCTGCGTACAAGTGTTTAATTCAACCTTTATATTTATTGTGACAATTTTTCAAAAGCTATATTCTGCAAGTTTTACACCAAGTTATAGCTACTTTGTCTAATTTATTTGTTTGAAATCAGCAGGATATTAACCTTCATTTTTTAATAATAGTTCTGTTAGGCATAATGACTTGTTTTGAGATATAAAATTTCAAATACTTTTGTGTTTCTTATTTTGAATGAATTTAATAAAAACCTTAGCTTGTATCAAATTAAAAAAAAGTTTAATGTTTATTATTTAGCATGTTTCTTTTCTACATTAACACAATTATTTAATGACTAAACTTTATAGACTTATAGTTTAATAGACTTCATAGACTTATAATTTAACTAATAATATAAACTTTATAGACTTATAATTTAAAAAAAACTGTAAACATGTAAATAAATGGTTTTAACTAGTAAAATAAACTGAAGTTCATTTTTAAAATGTGATAAAAAAATAATTGCGCTAAAGTTTCATGTAAAAAAGCATGAGAACAACAGACATTTCAAAAGTAATTTTTATTAACTTTTAAATAAATTAACCTTGCTATGCTTGAATAAGTTTGAGAAAAAACAAAAAAATGACTTAAAAAAAAAGTTTTTTTCTTAAAATAAACTTGAAAAAACAAGTAATTACAATAAATAAATTATGAATTTATAATGATATTCATTCATTATAAGTTCATAATTTATTTATTATAATTACTTGCTTTTTCAAGTTTTTTTTTTTTGTTTTTTTTTTTTTTCGCATATTTTTTACATCCTATATTTATGAACGGTAATGTACTCGATGAGTCTCCTACCTTTCATCTTCTAGGATTAACTCTTACTTCTGATCTTTCTTGGAAACCTTATATCAAATCCGTTGCAAAATTAGCATCTGCTAAAGTTGCTTCTCTTTATCGAGCTCATCACTTTCTTACTCTGGATTCTATTCTCTATCTCTATAAATTTCAAATCCGGCCTTGTATGGAATACTGTTGCCATATCTGGGGCAGATCTTCTAATGATGCACTTTCTCTTTTAGACAAGGTGCAAAAATGCATTGTAAACATAGTTGGACCTGCTCTTGCAGCCAACCTTCAACATCTGTCACATCGTCGTAATGTTGCTTCTCTTTCTCTTTTCTACAAATACAATAATGGGCACTGCTCTAAAGAGCTAGCGTCTCTTGTGCCATCTTCTAAAATTCATTCTTGTGTTACTCGTCATTCAATTAAGTCTCATCCTTTTTCTGTTACTGTTCCTAAGTGCTCCAAAAACTCTTATTCGTCTAGTTTTTTCCCTCGAACATAAGTTCTTTGGAATTCGCTTCCTTCATCTTGCTTTCCTGATTCATATAATTTGCAATCTTTTAAGTCGTCTGTCAATCGTTATCTTGCTCTACAATCTTCATTTCTCTTCCAGTAACTTCCAACACTAATTAGTGGTTGCTTGCAGCCTTGTTGGAAGCGAAAATAATTAAAAAAAACAAAAAACATATATATTAATTTTTGCATGCTGACACTTTAAGAGATAATATGCCTTAAGAGGTCAGCAGTTATATTCATAAACATAAAGCAAAGCTAGGTTCACTTTTGGGTTGGCATTGGCATTTATCTAAATTTCACAGGCTTTAATGTAAAAGGAAAAAATAAGCTGTTTTATTTTTCTGGCAACTTAGCCACGGTTTTTTGCATTTATTGATAATATTGGTCTTTTAAAAAATGCGCTGAAAAAAATCAACTAATTTGAAGAGAAAATTAAATATAAACAAACCATAAACCAAAAAGAGAAACAAACTTAACAAATGATAAAATAACTAAAAGATACCCCATTGAAAATATAAGCATACAACTAATATATTTTTAATAGTTCAAACTAAATTTAATTTAACAACTTTTTTTTAAAGGTGTTGAGTTTGGAGCTCGAATGATTACAATTGATGGAAAGCAAATAAAGTTGCAAATATGGGATACTGTAATGTTGTTTAAACTATTTTAATTTTTTTTTTTTTTAATGTATATTTATATATTTGCATTGAGCATAATATTAATAAGATTGTGTATGAAACATTATATAGAAACATATCTATATTTTTTATTTTGTACATTTATGTATATCGGCCTCAGCAGGAATGGCGGGACTGCACCTGCCCTTACATCCAAGTCAGTTTACACTGGCAAATTTAAAGCTTGTCTAAGTTTATAACTTTTTTATATAAGCAGCAAAATTTAATGTTTTTTAGTCTTATTTTACTTACATAAACAAAAATAGTAAAAAACATATAGTGCATTTAAAATATTACTTTAATATATAATATGTAATTACACAATTATCAAAAAAAAGCAAAATAAATGTTTATTCACAGTTATGTTTTTGTGAGCGAATTTATGGTTAAAAAAGTTCATAATTGATGATTTTTTAAAAAGAATTTCATTAAATAATTATTTTAAAAGGTTGTAAAAAAACAACATTAACAAAGAACTTTAGTAATTTTTAAAAGCTTTTTAAATTTTATACTTTTAAATTAAAAATTTTGCAAAATAAAATATACTGTTTAAAACGCAGTTTTTACAGTTGCGTTTTTAATTTAGTAATTTAAAATACAACTTAAATTTAATGTTTTTTAATAAAGTTTTGATAATTTGTTCATTAAATTTGAAATATGTGTCACAAAAATACTTTTAAAAGTATCAAACTCATTTATTCAAGTTTTAATTACAAAAGTTTTTTCTTATAACTACTTGCGCTCTTGCTTAGTGGTATTTCAGTGCGATTTTTAAACTTTTCAAATTAAAAAAGTTTCACAACAAAGAAGAGTAACAAAGGAATTTGTTAAATATGAAAATAAGACGAAATGAGGCACAATAATATTTATAAAATAATAAATCACTTCAATAAAAAAGCGAACTAATACTAAAATATAATTAATTTTATTTTATCCATAAGCTTTTTTATTTAAATATTAAAAAATGTATATATATATACTTTCTCCCATGGACTACACTTGTGTGGTTTAAATGGTTTCGATATTGTTATTTTTTATTTATATATGACGTTATGCAAGAGTTAAAGTTTTTTTAAAAACAGAAGTGTGCACATATGTATATATGAAGTAGTAAATAACTGCGGTCCTGGTCCTGGCTAAAAATAAAACTTTTTACAAACCAGGCCCCCTGCTAAGTTAAAATATTTGTCAAGGGTTGATAGCAGGTGTCAGAAAAAATATATAATGCTTTATATATTATCAATTCATGCATACATTTACTATTTATTAAGTAATAACATGACAAGCCAAATAAAAATGAGTTTTGGTTTAGTAAGTGACCGTGGCCCTGGCTAAAAATGAGACTTTTTTCAAACTCGGCCCCAGCTAAACTCTAAGATTTATCAGGTTTTGATAGCCAGGGCCAGTAAAAGAATGCAACTTGTTGAATAAGAAACAATGCAAGAATGAGTTTTGGTTTATCGTAATAGCATGTTTGAGTATTGACCATTATTGTATTTGTAGAAAAAAGAAATGCAACCTTACAATAATGGGAGAGTGGCTCAAGCTTGGGAGATACATCAAGTCTAATTACTTTTACAATGAGCTTTTAGACTTTGTCTAAGGGTAAGAAGGTTGTTATCAATATAGGAATGCCAACAGTATTGCAATATTTTTTTGCAGTAAATGAGTTTTGTTGTCTAACAAAAGTTGTGGAATTAAAATCCACAAGCCACTGCAAGCCTTAGGCTGTTACAGAAAAAAGTGAAGACTTTTTGTCAAGAGGAGAGTATTGAATTAATTCATCAGGAAATAGAGCCTCTTTAGATTTTATGAAGATCATTATTGTAGATAAGAAACAATACAGGAGCAAAGATAGAACTTTGTGGTACCCTTAAACTTACTTAAAGATGGTAGGCCTTAAATAATAACTTTACTTACTGCAGTTAAAAAAAAATCATTTAATAACCTCAAAACCTTTATGGTGAAAAATGTGGAATAGAATGAGGCTTGACTTAAAGTTAAAGAGAAGTAATTAAAGCTTCCAAACATTTCAGAAGGAATAAAAACTTCCAAGATGCACTTTATGCATACATATTAAGAATATAAACATATCCAACCCTCGGAATTAGGAAAAATGGTTGGCAATAATTTGCTGGCCTCAATCTTTTTGAGGTCGGCATCAGGTCAGCAAAAATTATTTGATACAAAGGAATGATCATAAAACATAAAAACGAGGTCTGCAATTTTTTGCCGACCTCAAACCCTTTCAGGTCGGCATTGCTGAATTCCGACCTTGAGTATAAATTAGTTTAAGTTAAGAAAAAAAAATGCTCTAGATTGTTTATATTGGAGAAACAGCATAAAAGAGGAGGGCTAAAGGTTTGGAAGCTGATGAAAATGATCATAATGATGATCATGATCTGATGATGAATATGAACCATGATCAAGCCTCATGATGATGATCATCATCATCCGGCTTTAGCATTCCTATTTTATGCTGTTGATGATGATGATGATAATTGTGATTATGATGATAATGATGATGACGATCATTATGATGATAATGATGATGATAATAGTTATGATGATCATCATCATGATAATAATGATGATTATGATAATCATGTTGATCATAATGATGTTTATATATGCATATATATATACTTTATACAATATACTTTAAGATGTATAAATCTTTATGTAACCCCGGTCACAAACCCGGCTTCGGCTATATTTTGACGAATCATGCACCAGCCCCTGTCAAATATCAAACCCAGTCATTTACTATTTTGGTTGGTGGAACTAGAGATGATAACTCAACAGCATAAAATAGAAACCATAAAGACTTTAACTTTTAAATTGCTATTTGGTTCTAGTCTCTGGTATACTGGTGCTTCAAGAATGTTAAGAGAATGAAAGAGAGAAATAAAAATTTATCTGAAAGTGTTTTACTATGTAATTAATATTTTTATTTTATTTTACAAAACAGGCAGGGCAAGAATCATTTAGATCAATTACCAGGTCATATTATCGGGGTGCTGCAGGTGCTTTGCTTGTTTATGATATAACAAGGTAATCATAGTTTACATTAGTTGTCTAGGGATCGTCCATAAATTACGTAACGCAAAATTTAACAATAAACAAATCAAAAAAAGATCAAAAGTTTTCCCTTGCAAAGTCTTAATTTAAATAAATAATATCTCCTACTTCTGTTCTTAAATTATTTTCTGCGTTGTGTAGTTTAAGTACGAACCCTTATTTGAAAAAAAAAATTTCTTTTCATTCTTTTAAATGATGATATTTTTTTAATTTATGTTGTAATGGTATGTTTATTTATTTTATTAATAATTTATATAAATTTTGTTTTAATTTTTATGTTAATATGTATTACAGGAGAGACACATTTAATCATCTTACAACGTGGCTAGAAGATGCAAGACAACATTCAAGTTCTAACATGGTTATCATGTTGATCGGAAATAAAAGGTTAATATAATAGAAATTTTGAAAAATCTTTAAAAAAATTAAAGTTGAAAAGTAATTAAAGATAGATCTAAAATCAAAGATAGATCCAAATTCAAAAAGCTTAAGCCAATTATAGGAGTTTTTTCTTTTTTGAGGGTTTTTTAGTTGAATAATTTTAGGTGGCTGTCCTTAGCGGAGACACTTACAAGTAAATCCAATTTTTTGATTAAACTTTTTAACCAGATGTCTAGGTTTTCAGTATTGCAATTTTATTGTTGTTTGTGTAGCTATGTTACAGTTTTTGCAAGAAATATTTTAAAGTTTTTTATTATATTACTTTAATAGTATCAAATGAATAATATCAATAAAAATATCAAATTTATAACAATAACAATATTTGTAATGCAGGCATAAAAATATTTTATGCAATTACAAGTTTCATAATAAATTAAGACTGTCATTTGTTAGTTTAAAATGTGTATATGACATTTATGTAAAGATAGTTTAATAATAAAAAAATGCATAAAATGGTTATTGAAAATTTTTATTTGGCATGTCACTTTGTTATTATTTTGTAATTATTTCCAACTTTTTTTTAGTGATTTAGAAGCAAGAAGAGAAGTGAAAAAAGAAGAGGTTTGTTCTTTTTAATGATATGCAAAGAAAAGCATTTTGCAGATTATTATAAAATGTTATGAGATAATGAGTTAAACATTAACACTTAGGGAGAAGCTTTTGCTCGTGAACACGGTCTTATTTTTATGGAAACTAGTGCCAAAACAGCTGCAAATGTTGAAGAAGCATTTATTGGTACAGCAAAAGAAATTTACCAGAAAATTCAGGAAGGAGTATTTGACATAAATAATGAGGTAGTAAAGTTTATTTAGTTTGTAACTATTACTATAAAAGTTAAACTATAATTATTTTTTTAATTTTATTCATACTGAAAAATTACAATCAATGCGTTGTCATTACTAGTGTTAATTTTTAAAACAAGTATCTGAGATGTATGGTTATTTTAAAAAGGCTTTTTTTTGTGAATGATGGTTAAAGTTAAAAATCATTAGAAATAAAAAATCAACTTAAAACACTGTTTTTCAGTTATGTATGAAATAAACAAAGTTTGTTACATACTTTTATATTCTTTTATATAAATGTATATATTCTACTATTGCGTATATAGATAACAAATTGTTACTTGTTTTTCCTACCCTTACAGCATACAGCGTTTTCATAAAAAAATAATAATGTAAGAAAAGATTACTGCCTCATTCCAAACCCTCAGTTGATGTAGGCACTCCTTTGTTACAGTAGACTATAAGATAGTTGATGTATTTACTGAAGCCCCTGCAGCAGATGCTGCGTGGGCCCTGCTGCAGATGCAGATGCAGCAAATGCTGTGGGGGCCCTGCAGCAGAAGCTGCGAAGCCCTCGCAGTTGATGTATTTACTGAAGCCCCTACAGCAGGCTATTTCAGTGTGATGTCAGAGATGTTATCTAAACACAAATTCATAGTTATATTTATGCAGCAGTAAATAACAAATGAAGATCTTTGTTTGTCATTTGTATTACAAACAGAGCATAATTTGTTGTTTATTTTAAATATTTTTTAGGTTTATTTTTCTGAAACGATATGAAAGTTAAGTAGTTTATGTTAAATTTTTAATTTGTTCTTTCTTGAAGCTAGGTAGGTAACAGTTCATTTGTGTAGTTATTTTTTTCCAAATATTTAGCATTTTCAAAAAAAAAAAATTTGATTATAATGCACCTGACTTAAGATTTTCAAAAATTCTTCAGTTCACCTGCTAGTCTAAAGGGGTGCCACCAAAAATTTACCTCACTGGGTGACACCAACCTCGGCTATGCCACTTCAGCTATTACTACCATCAATGATAAATTATTTGGACTTGAATTAGATAAAATTCGGATTTTATTTTTCGTATTAAAAGTAACACTTGCTTAATAACACTTAAAAGGGTTTAAAAATTGCTCATTTTTTATCTAGTTATAAAAACTGCTAAACTTAATTTTTAGTAATTTTTTACTAAAAAATTATATTATAAATTATATTTGGCTTTATTATCTCCTAACAAGTTCCATTATTCTACTTGATCATTGTTATTCGTAACGCATACCAAATCTTTTTCTATTAACTTATAGTCTGTTTTAATACATATCAATATTTATTTTATTGTATTTTAATATTTAGTTTTTCATTAAGCAAGTGTTATTTTTAAAAGTAAAAAATTACTATAAGGTTAAGTATAAAAGTTTTTAATACTTAACAACAAAATTAGCAATCAAATCCCTATAAAATTGTTTCTCAAAAATTTAAATCAGCAAAACCACTCCATAAAATTTACTTTTTAACTTGAAAACGAAATTAAACAACTTAACTTTTTAGATATTTGTAATACAAATATAATGAGCGGTTTTATGAGTTTCAAGTAATAAAGCAAGAGTTTGACATTCAGCCTGGAATTGGGGAAGTTGTTCTTAACATGACAAGCATAACGTTAAAACAAGAATTTTGAGACCAATTTTGACATTAATTTAACTGACTACACTGTTACATTATTTTATTTGTATTATTATTTTACGCCTATTAATGCCTTCTTTTTTAAATGCTTTATTTTATGCAACGTTATATTTATTATCTGATGATAATGGATGACCACAGTAGGTCAACGAAATATCGTTAAAATAATATTAAATTAAATATATTTTAAAATAGTTCATACGCTGACTTGATTATCGAATTCAATTTTCAAGATATTAATGAACTTTAAAATTTGCGGTAGCTTAAATCTTAGTCTTTGAAATTATTGCGTTTTTTACAATAACATTCAACCATCCCCGCTTTTATAATTTGATGTTTTTTTTACTTTTAGGCTAACGGTATAAAGATTGGTCCGCAACATACAAGCTCTTCTCCATCTACTATAAGCGGTGGGGCGGCAAATCAACAAAGCGGTGGTTGCTGTTAAGGACGTCTTATTAATGAAAAAGTTTCAATATTTCCTAAGACTTTTAGAAGTCATGCGCGATCAGAGTGTTTTTATGACATGCTTTTTTCATATTCTATAAATAATATGTTTATATGAACTCGCCGGTTCCTTACCAGATACCCGTGATTAAAGTTTTATTATTTACAGGTTTCTTTACATAAATCTTTCGTTGGTGTACTTAAATTATTTTCTGTAAATTAGTAATATTTTAGTTTTCGCGTTGCTTTGCAACCGCAACTATTGGCGCCGAAATATCACATTGCTTTAGTGTGCTGAAATATTTGTTAGACAAAAATTATAATTTTTTTTTCTTATAAAATGTAATAAGTTTTCTGTACAAATTATTCTTGTTAAATTATTTTCGAAAATGTCACCCTTGTGATATTTGAGTTAATCACCATGATCCAAAAAGATATTTATTTTATTGAAAAATTCGTGGAAATTTTCTTTATTTTTTGACACAAATATATGTATAGGTAATTGTATTAAAAAAGTCTATTTACTTTTAAATTGTCAAAGTTCTGCAGCCGTATTCTCATCTCTCCGTTAAGCTTAACGGAGCGTTAGTAGAAAATTTCTTTTTAACTACATTAATAAAAAAAGTTCTTTAAAAATATAATTTTTTAAATAAATGTTTTATTTTAGTATTAGTTTTATATTAAAAAATTTAAATAAAGTTTTTGTCATTTCTTCACTTAGAAATATTGTAATAAAATTTCAGACAAAAGTTCCGTTAAGCTTAACGGAGAGATGAGATACGGCTGCTGAATGTTAGCCGTGAATGAAGCCGCATACCAATTTTACTAAAAAAGATATTTATCGAATATTGTTTGTAGAGTTATTTTTAGGTGGTAGTGCAGTAATTAGAAAAAGAATTAGTATTCTACTTTAACAATTTTTTTTTTCTTAAATTGTGTAATATTATATATTAATTAGTATATTTCTAATATACTATCAGAAAGCTAAAAAAAATTTAATTTAAAAAGCTACGAAAATTTTTCAGCAGCCCTTCACAATTTATGATTAAAATTTTGGTTAGTGATAAATTATGTATGTCGTTGTGTCGAATGATTTATCGATAGAGCAGTCGTGGCGCAGTGGTTGGAGTTCTGGCTCAGAGCCCAGAGGTTCGGCGCCAGCTCTAGCCCAACAAGCGACATTGGTACGGAAAGAGGCGTGAACTTCCCGTTAAATGCTCTCCTGCGGTGCCCTATGATAAGACCGTAAGGTCTACTGGGAGCACCTAAACACACATATATTTATATATATTTATTATGAATGTCATTGTGACTAAAACTAAATAAAATATTGGCGTTTTTGTAAATTTTGGCATAAATGGGGGTAAATACTAAGCAAGAGAAGCAGTAAATATTATTTTAGAGTATGTTGTAAATGCTAATACAATGAACAAGAGGCCATATAAATTTATTTGATAATTTGTTTTAAAAATATCGTCGACGCCAGCCCAAAACATGATTTTGAGATAGATGCAAGTAAAAAAACTAAGTTTAAAATTCTTTACTTTTTTACATTACACTGACTTTTACTCTTATCACAAAAACTTACTATGAACATTTTTATTCTTGAATTTGTTTTATGGTTAATTTGTCTTTCTGCTTCCAAGACTTGTTTCGTGTCCTTTACATAATCTGCAATTTTGCCCATTCATTCTAAATTCATTAAAAAAAAGTTATTTAAAAATTGTTGTCATAGAATTTCGAACATATGACCATAATTTTTGGTTTGATAGTGTACTTAACAGCTAGAATAGAAAAATTCAATTATATGTCATTTTTCCAGCCAATTTTTTAAGCAGGAATTTGTACCATAAATCTTATGGTGCACATACAAAACTGATGTTATATAAACTGATTTATGCCAAACACACTTTTGTTTAACTATACCAATTTATTTTGCATTTAAGTTTTTTTAAGCAATAGTAGTTGAAGAAAGTCGGGTAGCCCCAGACACTTGGTGTATAGCTAAAAGTAAATAGGCCTTTTGGTATTGAGTGCATAAAAACATGCTTTTAATGATTTTAAGGCATATGCAAAAATCTGGTCCAATGTTCGAAAGTTATCGGATGGCAGAGCCAAATAATGTTTGCTAGCATCAAGATAACAATGTATCATCGTATTTGATTCACTTATTATCGTATCTAATTTTTTTTGTTTACACTATTCATTCTATTCATTCAACTATTCATTCATGAAATTTTATTTACAATATTTGTTTAAAAATAATTTTGTTTTATACTTTTACAAACGGTTTTAAAAGTGGTATTTTGAAATGAGGTATGAACAAGTGATACCGGACACAAGTTTGGAGGGTAGCTCCGGACAGTTTACCTCATTTATAAATGGAAATTTTTGTGATTAATGCGTCTTTTTTTTTTCATTATTAATGTTAAAAGGCAGGGGCCGATCCAAAGTATTTTTTTAGGGGTGTTGAAAAAAAGGGGAAGGACATCGTCAGCACATTCGCTTGTAACTAATAATAAAAAAATGGGTCGGCGCGAGTTACGTTGGTCACGGTCACGTATAGGAGAGGTGAAGATGTTTATTAAATTTTTGTTAATAAAAAAAAACGTCATTGTTTTCCGACTGACATGTCTGAAAGGGTCATATTTGCCGACTAAATGAAAAAAAGAAGGGTTGTCAGACCCACCTTCGCGCCGCCCTTGGATGGTATACTTTTTTTTTAATATTGTTCATCTTATATTAAGGAGTTTATGCAACTTTTTCAGCAAAGGTAACTATTTTTTATATTTTAAATGCATTGAATTTCTTAATTTTCATTTACAAAAAGATTTCAACTTAAAAAAAATTGTAAAAAAACCTTTTTACAATTTTTTTTTCTTAAATAAAAAGTACAAGATTTTTTGTACATAAAAGTTTAAATAATAATATTATTAACACAAATAACTAAAAATTCAATAAAAAAAACCAAAATATTTCTTAACCTGGTGGTATTGCTAGTTTGACAGGATTTTTTGGTGATTGAGTTGACTTTCAGACACGGAGAAATTTCTAAGTATGCTTATACTTATTTCAAATTATTAGGCTATATATATATATATATATATATATATATATATATATATATATATATATATATATATATATATATATATATATATATATATATATATATATATATATATATATATATATATATATACACTCTTAATTAAAAGGTGTTAAATTACACTAAAAAGGTGTGCAGCATGAAAAACACCAAAACGGTATTAAATTACACCGTTTTAGTGTAATTCATTCTGCACATCTTTTTATTGTTAATTTACACCGTTTTGGTGTTAATTTACACCGTATTGGTATATTTTATGCTGCACACCTTTTTAGTGTCAAACTACACCGTTTTGGTGTTAATTTACACCGTTTTAGTATATTTCATGCTGCACACCTTTTTAGTGTTGAATTATACCGTTTCAGTGTATTTCAGGCTAGTTTGAAACAAAAACACATCTAAAAATTAACATACACACATATTTAATTATAAATTATATAAAAATATGTTCCTGTTTATGTTCTACTCATTAAAAAAAATATTTAAAAATGTCTTTATGGTTCATTTAAAGTTAATGATTTTAACAGTTGACTTGTTTTTATCTATAAAAGGAGAACTTTTTTTAGTATAAACTGCCAACATTAACCAAAATGATTATGAACTAAGGATAATCTAGGTTAAATGTATAAAAGAAACCATAGTTAGGCGTATATAATATCAACAAACTTTCTTGGGAAGCAACCACAACAACAACAACAACAACAACAAGATATTTGTCTCCTCCATAGTAGTCTGCAAGCTGCATGTCAGTGACTTCTGGTATATACTTATTTAGCTGGATATCTAGAATATCCAGCTAAATAAGTTAAACTTTTATCAAAGCAGGAAAATTATTAAATTACTCTATCATGACATACTTGTGGTGTCTTAGACTGTTAAAATAATAATTGGAATTTACATATTTAAAATCTAAAAAGATGTAAAATAAATTATGTTGAATGCATTATTTATAAATAATTTTAGATTTTTAAGAAAAAATAGAAAATTATAAAATAATATCAAAAAATAATAAAAAAATTTAAAAAAATTAAAAAACTATTAGTGAATGTTATTTGCTAATAAGGTTTGTTGCTGTCTATGTAATTTTTTAGTAAATATTTTATTAAATATTTCATCAGGTTTTAGGAGAACACATTTAAGATGTGTCAGCAGATATTTTCAAAAAAACAACTTTTTTTGAAAATATCTGCTGACACATCTTAAATGTGTTCTTTATAATCAAATAATACTGGATTTAAAAAATATTTGAATAAATTTTTTTTTTTGGGGTGCCACAAGACCCTTTTTTTTTTCAACAACATTTTTTTTAATTATAATTTTTTTCTCAATTTTTTTTTCAAATGATTACTTTTGAAATTTTTATTTAATTTCACTTCATTTGAGACCTAACATGACATATTTTTGGAAAACTTGTTTTTCGATAATATTATATCCTGTTTAATGTTTAAGGGTCTTGTGGGATTCCCTAAAAATATTTTTTAATCAAAAAATTTTTAAAACAATTATTATTTATTTACATAGAACCTAGGAGGTTCTATATAAATAAATAATAATTTAGGAGGTGTCAACAGATATTCAAAAAAAGTTCTTTTTAGCACCACGCTATATATATATATATATATATATATATATATATATATATATATATATATATATATATATATATATATATATATATATATATATATATATATATATATATATATATATATATATATATATATATATATACATATATATATATATATACATATATATATATGTATATATATATATATCTATATATATATATATATATATATATATATATATATATATATATATATATATATATATATATATATATATATATATATATATATGTATATATAAATATATATATATACATATATATATATATACATATATATATATGTATATATATATATATATATCTGTATATATATATATATATCTGTATATATATATATATATATATATATATATATATATATATATATATATATATAT